GGAAGGAAGGAAGGAAGGAAGGAAGGAAGGAAGGAAGGAAGGAAGGAGAGATAGGTTGAAAGGGAGAGAGGGAAGCAATGGTGGGATTCAAAAATTTTTACTACCAGTTCTGTGGGCGTGGTTTGTTGGGCATGCTTTGGTGGGCATGGCATGGTGTGGTGTGGCGGGGGAAGTATACTGAAAAATCCCATTCTCTCCCCTCCCCACTAACCTGCTTTCCAGCTCCATTCTCCTGTGAAGCCCCACTGATCAGCTGGGACCCGTGTATCTGCCATTCTTCAATGGAAGAAGAAGTGGGGGGGGGCGGTTTGACACAAGTAATTCTTTTTGAGGTAACCTGAATATCCTATCTCTTGTACTAAATCTGTTTTTTTTAATTTATTTGATTTGTCAAAATGCTTACAATATAATAGATATAAGAATAAACATGAGTAAGCCACAATTATTAATAAGGTATATCAATGTGTAGAGGTGGATAGATTAACAAAATTATTGAAGGCTAAAGAAGGAGAATATTATAAAATTTATTTATTTATTTATTTATTTATTTTTATTTATTTTATTTATTTGATTTGCCAATTGTTTACAAGATAATAAGTATAAGTGTATACATAGTTATGAATACATGAAATGGGTACATATAAGAAAAATAAAAGAATAAGAGAAACAATAGGACAGGGACGGTAGGCACGTTGGTGCGCTTATGCACGCCCCCTACAGACCTCTTAGGAAAGGGGTGAGGTCAATAGTAGACAGTCTAGGGTTAAAGTTTTTGGGGTTTGGGGAAGAAACTACAGAGTCGGGTAGAGTATTCCAGACATTGACCACTCTGTTGCTGAAGTCGTATTTCCTGCAATCAAGTTTGGTGCGGTTTACTTTGAGTTATAATATAGTTATAATATAGGATGTTTGAGTTATAATATAGTTATAATATAGGATGTTTGGTACGAATGGATAAGAATAAGACGCAAAGGCATCAAATGATCTATGTAATACGATAAAACTATAAAACAATAAGGTTTTTGTGTAAATAAATGTAAATAAAAATGTATATATGTATAAAATGCCTAGAATGACGAAGAATCAAATACAGAGATGTACAGAGATGTATAACACATTAATAGAAGATATTTATACTGTAAATACTGCTATAGTAACGTTGTAAAGTGCGGATATTTGTTTTTAAGTGTTAAAACATTGAATAAATAAATTTATTTTTTAAAAAAAGAATAAACATGAGTAAAAGGACATGAAATAGGTACAAATAATTGGGGACAATAGGAGAGGGATGGGAGGCATGATGGTGCACTTATGCACGCCCCTTACAGACCTCTTAGGAATGGGGTGAGGTCAATAGAGGTTAGTTTAAGGTTAAAGGAGGGGTGGGTGGGTGTTAGAGGATGTAACAACAGAGTCAAGTTAGTGCATTCCAGGCATTGACCACCCTGTTGCTAAAGTCATACTTCCTGCAATCAAGTTTGGAGTGGTTTACATTAAGTTTATATCTGCTGCGTGCTCTTGTGTTGTTGTGGTTAAAGTTGAAATATTCATTAACTGGTAAGGCATTGTAACAAGATAATTTTATGTACTATGCTTAAGTCCAATCTTAGCCGGCGTAGTTCAAGGTTGTCTAAGAAACTAGAAACTCAAGTCTGGTGGTGTAGGGTATTCTGTTGCGAACAGAGGAGTGTAGTACTCTTCTTGTAAAATACTTCTGGACTCGCTCAATTGTATTAATGTCTGATATAGTGTGGATTCCAGACTGTTTTATGATTTACAACCATTGCCTGGCACCCCAGATGCCTGGAAACTTCTCACCTCTCGAAGAGATGGCAAAAGAGGAGAAGGGGCCATATAAATTCCAATTCTGAAAGAAACTTTCTGGGAATCTCTTAGCTACGTTCTCAGAGGCGAGGGGAAAATAACAAGTTTCCTTCTGCGTATTGGCGAAATCCACATCAAACTAAGAGGGAGGGATTCTAACTCCCTTTATCTGAGCTGCATGTTGTGGTTAGCCAGATGAGGGGCCAGGACCATTAGGGAGCGGACTGCTGCCTTCAGAGATTGTGGGGGCTGGCAACAGCGATGAGGAGGTTCCCGAGGAGCCTGTGCCAAGTGCGCGTGTGCGCAGGATTGCTCTCAGGAAAGAGCAGTTGCAACAGCATGGGCGACTCGGGAGTAAGGCTGCAAGGTAATGGCCCCTCCTTCAAGAAGATAAAAGCCAGCTGTGAAGTGAACGTTCTTTGCAGAATGCAAAGACATTTTGAAACTCAGCCTCGTGGACATTACCGTATCTTAAGTTGGTATTTGAAGATTCTTGTGTTGCAAAATATCTCTAGGTAACCTTATCTGTTATTCTTGGCAGCCTCGCAGAGTTTTGACGAGGCTCATGCTTATCAAAATTAATTAGTTTGCAGCAGCCTTTTAAACGGGAATTCGTAAGAATCATTAAAAGGTTTCTCTTCCCTTTGATTCATGTTTGTTTTATTGGAAAAGGGTTTGGGTCAAAACAATACCAGACCCTCAATAAAGAATTCCTGTTGAAATACCCAGTTTTTGAAAGTCCATTCTTATCGTCTGAAGGGGGGGGGAAGAGTCTGGTCCTTACACATGATGAGTGTCACAACATGGTTAGATGGTGTAAGGTCTGGCAGTACGCTTAAGCCAAAAATGAACCAAAACAAAGACTTAAATGGAGGCGTGCAAATCAAAGAAAGCAGACTTTATGTTTGATCAAATTTACAAGTTCTGGTTAAGAAATTCCTAGCACATCACAAGAGACATGGGAGGAAAATTCTACAAAATACAGAAAGATGTCCTGTCCTTCTTATACACGCAAAAGCCTTTGTTCTTGATTCTCTAATTACTTTGTAAATCTCTGGTCATGTAATCTAACTAAGATTTACATATTCCTGCAACAGATTCTTTTCTGGCAGTGTTATCTTTTCTCCATTGTCTCCCTAATTGATCATTTTGGCCTTTTGTTAACACCATAGGTTAAAGGTGTGTTTGCAAATTGCCTTGGCAGTTGGAGATATAGTTAGGTGCCAATTCCTGGGAGAAATGGGGGTGGCATTTATGGAAGGATCATTTCTGGGAGGATTCATGAAGGATTTATATAACAGGACCATATACTTGATATAGGAGGATGCAATTGATTGCAGGCATATGTTCAACAATGAGTAAATGCATACGGAAATAAGTTTACACCAGGATAACATATATTTTTCAAGACAGCAAATGTCTATAGAGTAACTTTCTACTTAATGCTAGAATGCCGTGATGGTGAACCTATGGCACGCAGAGCCATTTGTGCCGGCACACAAGCTGCAGCCAATCTTACCTCACTGCTCATGCGCGTGCCTCACAGCTGCTTTTCGGCCGGTTTGAGGCCTTTTTTGGCCTCCCAGAGACTCGAGGAAGGCTTCTGCAGGCTTAAAACTAGGCCCGTTTCGTCACTTCTTGTTTTTCCGGAAATACCAGAAGTGATGAAACGGGCCTAGTTTCGGCCTGCGAAGCCTGCAGAAGCCTTCCTCAAGCCTCTAGGAGGCTGAAAAAGACCTCAAACCAGCCGGAAATCAGCTGTGAGGTGCAGTGCAGGTAAGGGGTGGGGGTGGGGATTGCGTGCACATGCTAGGGGGCGTGGGGGAGTGCACATTAACTTCTGGGTGCTGGCACACACGCGTGCAAGCGCATGCACACTTTTTGGCACAGGAGCCCAAAAAGATTAGCCACCACTGCTATAATGTATTCTACTACATTTCTTTATTTATTATTACTATTCCCTTCAATGGGATTTGGACAAGAAAGGGACACCAGCCGGAAACATCATCTGATAGCTTTATTAAAACCAATTAACAATTGACTCATCACTTGGAGCTGTCTTCTCTTTAATGCAAACTACAGCAAACAAAGCTAGAGAAAAGAAAGGGAAACTGAGGAAGAAGGAAAAAAACTGAACTGGGGCTTAAGTGAATCATTTGACTCATGATTTGTGAAGGGTCATATATGACAGACGAAAAAAGCAAAGCTTCCTCTAAATTCAGCTTGTAACACCAGAGGTTTCTCGGCCGCTGGACACACTCAGGATCATTTGCCCATGTTGGGGGTCATCTCGTGAGTCCATCCCAGCTGTCCAGATTAGTTACAGCTCATCTTTGTCAACTCAATCTTTTGCAGCCAAGGACGGGACCAGACTTGGAAGCGGCAAGTAAGTTTCTAAAAGAGAATGAAGAGAAAAAAGAAGAAGGGAAACCCAGATAATCAGCGTTTGAAACATTTGGTGGTATATAAATTATCAGTAGAAAAGATAACTTATAGGTAAGGGTTGAAATGGTGCTCTTGGAGCCTGGTTGTTTTCTTGCAGACGTTTCATGACCCAACTTGGTAACATCATCAGTGCTACAAGGGTTTGTTCTCTGTTTATATACAGGTAGTCCTCGACTTACAAACAGTTCATTTAGTGACAGTTCAAAGTTGCAACAGCACTGAAAAAAGGGACTTATGATCGTTTTTCACACTTATGACCGTTGCAACATCCCCATAGTCACCTGATTGGCAATTGGTTCATACTTATGACGGTGGCAGTGTTCCAGAGTCATGTGAATCCCCTTTTGTGACCTTCTAACAAGCAAAGTCAATGGGGAAACCAGGTTCACTTAACACCCATGTTGCTAATTTAACAACGGCAGTGATTCGTTTAACAAATGTGGCAAGAAAAATCGTAAAATGGGGCAAAGCACCCTTAAGAAATGTCTCACTTAAGATAAATTTTGGGCTCGATTGTGGTCATAAGTCTAGGGCTACCTGCGCGGCGGCTTGCCCTGTTATAGCTGGTGGGCATTGATAAACACCTTCCTACCACTGAAGATGTTACCTAGTTGGGTCATGAAATGTCTGCAAGAAAACAACTTAAGCTAAGGGAGCATCAAGGACCCCACAATATATAAACCCTTCATGGAAACAAATTACATGCGCTGACGTAGATTCTGGGGGAATTCTGCACACACCATCTGCAATCAAAGGATTTAGCTTGGTCTTTCTTGATATGGAGAGACACGGTAGCTGAGTGGCTAAGACGCTGAGCTTGTCGATCAGAAAGTTCGGCAGTTCGAATCCCTAGCGTTGCGTCACGGAGTGAGCTCCCGTTCCTCATCCCAGCGTCTGCCAGCCTAGCAGTTCAAAAGCATGTAAAGAAATGCAAGTAGAAAAATATGGACCCCCTTTGATGGGAAGATCACAGCGTTCCATGCGCCTTCGGAGTTTAGTCCTGCCGGCCACATGACCACGGAGACGTCTTCGGACAGCGCTGGCTCTTCGGCTTTGAAACGGAGATGAGCAGCGCCCCCTAGAGCCGGAAACGACTAGCATGGATGTGCAAGGGGAACCTTTACCTTCTTAATATGGAGTCCTGGCACAGCGGATTACAGGTCCCATCTCCCCAAGTCACCAAACCACCCATCCAATTCACCGGTGGAACAACTACCTTCCAGAAATTGTGAGTGCTCCATCACTGGAGGCTTTCAAGAAGAGATTGGACAGCCATTTGTCTGAGATGGTATAGGGTCTTCTCCTTGGGTGGGAAGGTTGGACTAGATGACCTCTGAAGTCTCTTCCAACTCTATACAATCTATATTATAATAATCTATATATATAAAAGTGAAATACCACTCACGCATCATCACAAAATCTCCAGAACCGTAAAGACTACAAACTTGAAATTTGGCATGTATGTTCCTCCTGGCTTCTAGGGGCTCACAAAGAAAGGATTTTTCAAAATGACCATCAGAGCATTAGGATTGCCTATATTATTATTATTAACACGCTCTGATGCTAAGGAGTTCTACTCCCCCTCCCCACCTGAAAAGAAATCTGTTCCAAATGCAAAACACAAGCAGAGGAGAGGAGTTTCAGTTTCACAACCCCAAGCAGCTTTTGTACAGAACAGTTGAGCTAAGCCTCGCCCAGGCTCCTTGCTGTCTCATTGCTCACATAGCAAATGCTGTTTCAGTTTCCAAACAGCCCTCAACTCTCTCTCACCCACTAACAGGATGCATGGATGCTGGTAGGCAGAGGCTGAATTTCCCTCCCCCCTTTATTTCCCTCCCCAAAAACTAAGCCTGACCACACAAGTTTCATAGCAAAGCACGAGTATCGAGCTAGTAATCTATATTATAATTAATGTATTTTAAAATTACAATGAAGGAAGCCCCAAATACCGAGGGGCAGCAGATGTCTGTCTTAAAAAAAAAAAAAAAAAAAGGAAGGAGGAGGAGGAAAATACCGGAAATGGCAGTCCTGTCAGCTGGGTGTTTTATTGGGCAAGAACCTCAAACAGATACTGCTGTGAAGCAACCTTATTTCTGAGCACTTGATGGCAATGGGCTCATTAGCAAAAGCCAGCTTGGTCAGCAAAGCAATTTGCTCATCCCATCTTCTCTTGAGACGTGGGGATAGTTCCAGGTAGCTGAGACAACTATAATTCCCTGAGTGACCTAATTCGAGAGAGCCTCCAAAGTGACTTAAGTTTGGAAAGAAGGACGGAGCAAGGACGAGATTGTTGAGCCCCAGCTCTGCGCATCTTAATAGTTTTATTAATGAGTTAATTTATTGTCATTGCACCTCGTACAATGAAATTAATTGCCATTTTTGTCATCATTATCTTCTTTAAACAACCCCAATAATCCCTTGCGGGGTGGAGTCTGGACAACTGAATGGAGCTAGCAGAGTGTTTTAATGGCCGGATGCCTTTCGTGTCGCCAATGTGGAGTCTTTTCCCCCCAGCAGATATATTTCTCATCGTGCCCAGAGAGATAAATGTCTGCCTTGACCTAGGATCGAACTCACAGCTTCCTGATTGTGAGGTGAGAGCCCCACCACTAGGCCACTGCACCACTCCTATCTTCAGTGTACATTGTACATAAAAAATAAAACAAAACACACACATCCTTCACATTCCATGCAACTGAATAGAAAACCTGATATTGCATTCATGGTGCACTAGACAGTAGAATTCAATCGAGCTGTGATGGTGGCATGCAGGTGGCACGCAGAACCATTTGTGCCGGCACGCAAGCGGCAGGCAAACTTACCTCACTGCGCATGTGTGCGCCTCACAGCTGATTTTCGGTGGGTTTGAGGCTTTTTTCCATCTCCCAGAGGCTTGAGAAAGGCTTCCGCAGGCTGAAAACTAGGCCTGTTTCATCACTTCCTGGTTTTCTGAAAATACCGGAAGTGGTGAAACGGGCCTAGTTTTCGGCCTGCAAAAGCTTTCCTCAAGTCTCTGGGAGGCCGAAAAAGGCCTCAAACCAGCCAAAAATCAGCTGTGAGGCGCAGTGCAGGTAAGGGGGTGGCAGGGGCGGGTGGGTAGGGATTGCGTGCGCATGTGTACGGGGTGTGGGGGGAGGCGCATTGCCTTCTGGGTGCTGGCATATGAGCGTGCAAGTGCGCACACAATTTTTGGCACAGGAGCCCAAAAAGGTTAGCCACCACTGCAATAGAGTGACTGCTCTGGGATAGAAGCTGTTTTTCAGCCTATTTGTCCTTGTTTTTATTATTATCCTGTACCGTCTTGCCAGGTGGTAATAGTTCAAAAAAAAAAAGCGTGTTGTGTGCCCAGGATGAGATGGATCCTTGAGAATGTTTTGAACTTTCTTAAGGCAGCGGGAGCTAGAAAACTCTTCCAAAGAGGGGAAGAAGCCGGATAAAAGTCTAAGTGCGATTGTCATTTGCTAAGTGAATCACTTCAGTTGTTAAAATAGTAACATGGTCGTTAAAGCGAAACAGATTTCCTCATTGACTCGGGTTGTCTGTCAGATGGTCGCAACAGGGGATCACGTGACCCCACCCCGGGACTCTGCCACCATCATAAATGCGAGTCAGTTGCCAAGCGTTTTGCATTTTGATGACGCAACCGTGCAGATGACGCAACGGTCACTACAAGTGTGGAAAACAATCATAAGTCACTTTTTCCAGTGCCGTTCTAACTCGAATCACTAAATCTAAATTCTGTCATCTATAACTGCCTGGTTTGGTTCTGCAACCCAACAGGACAGACACACACTCCAGAGGGTAATTAGGACTGCAGAAAAAACAATGGCTACCAACCTGCCTTCCATCGAGGACCTGTATCCTGCACGAGTCAAAAAGAGGGCTGTGAAAATATTTACAGACCCCTCACATCCCGGACATAAACTGTTTCAACTCCTTCCCTCAAAACGATGCTATAGAGCCCTGCACACCAGAACAACTAGACACAAGGGCAGTTTTTTCTCTGCTAAACAACTAATTCCCTCTACACTGTCCAACTATTTACAAAGTGTGCACTACTATTACTATTAATGTTCTCATCACTCCTTATCATCCTTCCCCTCCCACTGGTGACTGTATGACTGTAATTTTGTTGCTTGCACCCTTACGATTTATTATTGTTTCTTAGTATGATTTGATCGCTTATTGTACCCTATGACTATCATTAAGTGTTTGTACTTTTATGATTCTTGACTCGACGAATGTCTCTTTTCTTTTATGTACACTGGGGCATTTGCACCAAAGACAAATTCCTCGTGTGTGCAGTCACACTTGGCCAATAAAGAATTCTATTCTATTCTATTCTATTCTATTCTATTCTATTCTATTCTATTCTATTCTATTCTATTCTA